TACGTCTTCGGTGAAACAATTAGTGGTATGCGAAGTAGCGGACATATAGGGGACCACGCTTGGAAACCTGGTAACTTAGTCTACTCATGTTGGGACATCGGCGTCAAAGATGCGACGGCAATCTCTATAATTCAAGTACTACAAGGTCAACCCGTGGTTGTAGCGTACTTTGAATTCAAAGGTACGACCTATGAACACGACATCGAGCAGATAACGAAATGGCGGCAAAAGCGAAATTTAGGGCTTGGTTTCCATGTGTTACCGCATGATGGTAAAAATAGAAGTAAAGCGACAGACGGCTTAGTGCCGCAAGATGCTACACAGTACATTTCCAACAAATTAGGGGAGCCGTGTAGGGCTATTGATAAGCCAAAAGCAAAAGAGTATTGTATAAGGTTAATGAGAGCGTACTTGCCGAGGTTCAAGATAGACCAAAACGAATGCAGTAGACTCATAGAATGTTTAAGTAGTCATACAAAAGAATATGACAGAAAAAACGATGTGTATAAACAAATAGGAAATCATGATTGGACTAGTCATGCAGTCGATTCAATACAAACCGCATGCTTAGCCCTAGAGAAAGACATGTTCATCAGCAGGGTTCGACAAACTGTTGGGCGATATATTTAAGGAAAAGTTATGAGAAAAACAGTTAAAGCAATGAAGAAAGAAGTGAAAGGCATTAAAAAGACAGCACCACGTTTAAATGCGGACGCTGCTAAGATTAGAGCAAAATTAAAAAGAGCTTCTAGCGCAATCGCGAGTGTATCCGCTGAGCTGGATCAGCTTGGCTATGACAGAACAAAAGATCGTGCCATGAAAAAAGATCTAAAGAAAGACATTAAGAAACGAGTAGCTAAGAAAAAAGCTGCCCGTAAAAAATAATGTCTGATCTGTTGAACACTGTGATGGGGTCGGCTTTCAGCGGGACGGCCCTCGGCTTTGTTAAGATGTACTTGCAAATGAAACATGAGCAAGAGATATCTAAAATAAGGCTAGCAGATCAAGATCGACAAGCAGCAAGAATGGTGACTAACACGTGGGTACAAGTATTTAGAATGTTTGTAATAATGTTCGTTTGCTTTGCGTACTTTAGTAAGCCATTCCTAGCTGCATTCATGCATTGGCCGATGTGGATAAGTTACAGTGAGTCTCACGGGTGGTTTGTAAGCCTATTTAAAGGTAACGCAAGCTACGTTATGAAAAAGTTTTACGGATTAGTTAACTCACCCACAGACAACCAGGTATTGATCTTTGTTATGACGTTCTTATTTGGAAGCATCCGGGTGTCGAGATAGGTCTCGGATCACGTAATCAAGATACCATCTTGCTTTCTTGAGATCTTCTAATTTCTTTCCTTTGTGTTCACATCGTAATACATACTTAATAACATTACCCAAGCAAAAATCAAAATTCTTGGTGATCTCGATAACTTCAACTCCGAGCTGTTTGTAGTGATTAGGGGAAGTCGGGTCATCAATCATTTAAAATACCTATCGTGTGTTTCGCAATCCAATCCGAGCGGTATGTGCTTAGCCCAGCGTGGTTTAGACGAGAGAATAAGGTCTTCAAATTCAGATAAACTATACGATCCTTTTTTGGCGCTATATACAAGCTCATCATGGACTGTAAACATAAAGGTAAATTTATCGGATTTATCCAGTTCAAACATAGCTGACACTAAAAGATCCCGGCTCAAGGCTTGGCAGATGTTTTCAACAAAGGTACCACCCCAATAATTACACTTCATAAAACCACCCCGCTTCCGAGAGTAGTGCTCTACGCGACCGTCTACAATCTCAGGGTACGGATAGACTAAGTCTCTGCCGGATGGTAGGTGAATAAAGAGTCTCCAGCTATCGCGATAGATATTCAAAGACCCAAACTTCGCTGATTCACCGCTCGAAACAACTTTTACTATGCAAGCCTCAAGGTTTTTCCAGAGCTTGACAGTGAGATGATTTGCTAATCTATACGTGGTAACACACCTTTTTGATATGTCTTCCGGGAGTTTATAAGTTTTAGAAAATGTGGCCGTTCCCATGCCATAGCCACAACCTAGAACAGCTGACTTGCCGTAAAACCTTTGTTTCTCGGTGACCTGATCTAGCGGTATGTTGAAAATCTTGGCTGCCATTTTTTCATATATTTTATCACCCGCCTGGAACTGGGAAACTAGCGCACGGTCACCCGACAACACCGCGAGTATCCTAGCTTCAATCTGAGAATAATCGGCTTTGATTAGGTCATGGCCAGCCGGAGGTACAATGAGGCCACGAACAGCGCGTGATAGATAACTGGGTGTCTGGTCAAACGGGAATGTACCCGAACTTTTAATTTTATGTATGATATCGTCAGCTTCAGTTTTTTCAGCTCTAAGTAAATTTTGAAGTTGAACACCGCGCGACGAATAGCGACCGGTAGCGGCCGCATGATAATCCATGACATTGTAAAGTCTTCCTTGGTGTTGTAGAGATAGACAAGAAGAGAATTTAGAAACAGATTTTTTACCGCCTTCAAGCCTGAGCCTGATGACACTTATAATGTTTTTGTCTTTCTCGTTGACTAGTCGCTCTCTTAAAAATGGTGCCGTTACTGCTTCCTGTTTTAAGAACGTAGCTAATCTCCCGACCTGATTTATTGATGTTACATAGCCACCTGTCATGTCAGATATCATCTCGGGCACTTTGTCTTTCCAGTCCTCCATGATCGCCGTAGCCATCGTGGCAAGCTTAACATCGATCGGAAGTCCTAAGAAATTGTATTTTAGGGTTAGGTCATATATGTCCTGTTCTGATTGCGGAAACTTAGAAATCAGCTTGTTATAGATTTCTTCGCACAGTAAAACATCTTGCTCACAATACTTTATGTAATCTTTTATCTGGTCCTCAGTTAATTCCGACAGTTTCTTTCCACGGTTAAGAGAATGCATGACGAACTTACCGTCCTCGTGTTTCCGTTCGGGTATTCTAAGATCAGCGCAGGCAGTATTCAGCGCCCTTCTGATATTGTTATAGCTGGCCAAGGCCATGGTATCAATTACCTTATTTATCTTAAGTGATGGAAAGAATTTTTTTATTACAGACAATTCAAAAAAACAGTTGTGTGCTACCAAATCGATGGGGTCATCAAATGATAGTGTAGTAGGGATGAAAACAGAGGTAAGTTTTCCACCCGTCTTATAGCTAACAATAGATACTCGAGTGGAGGGATGGTTAATGTAGTTAGTAGTTCCCACGATGCGTAGGTCCACATCAGAAACAGTTTCAAAATCTAGAAATACAAGCATGACGAATCCTTAAGGTGAGGGGAGCCATGAGTAACAACTCCCCTCTGGTTTACTAAGCTACTAACATGTCGTCATGTAGACCATCAGAGAGCGAGTCATAAGACTCAACTGCATCTAATAAGTCGCCTTCAGCTGCGTAAACAATTGGGTCTCCATCTTTAATAAATTGCGCAGTTAACAACTGTGCACTAACGCCCTTGGCGCCTTTGTGGTCGTAAGTTTTAAAAATAACTTGAAGCTTACCATAGCATCCATCATAGAACATAGATGAGTCGAGTAAACGCTCACCCTGAGGACTGCAAAGTGTAATTAAGTTACGTGCTCCGACAGTGAATCTACGCTTAGCCCTGATAACATAAGAATTTTCGGGCGCATTTTTACAATCCATCATATCACTATCTTTAATTACTGCGTGTAGTGGATTGAACTTTGGACCATATTTTTTAACACCGAGTTCTTTTTGTAGCTTAAGAATTTTCTTATAGAAATCTTCATTTGCCTTTATACCCTTCTCAAATGCAATCTCTATTTGAAAAGTGTCTTGAGGACCAGAGGTGTAAACTGCCCGTTCACTGCCGAATTTTTCTTCGACTGATTGAGAAAGAGCGACTTGAGTAAACCTACCGGTTGGAGTGGTGACGCGAGCTGATTTGATTGGTTTGTTGTCCATAGTTAATTCCTTTTAAATTTTTAAATGATTAAAATAATAAATAGTTTTGCACGTCCTAGTGCTTGGCTGTTTCAGCTTCTTATTGAACAGGGGGTAGTAAGTCTCCCGTCAGGAACATCTCAGGCGAGGGGTTAGAGGTAGGAACCACTTTAAGTTTGCCTAGCGAATGTTTAACGAGAGAACTCACTAATTCTTTTGCTTCTGTAGATTGTTTTTCTATATCAGTGAATGACCTAAGCTTTCTGTCATACACATCAATGCCCGTGTCTTTAAACGCTTCTTCAATTTTTGAAGGTGACGCATCCCACGACCGACGGGACTTGCTTTGAACAACTTTATATCCGGGTATTTTCTCACCGCATTCCAATGCTCTAAAGTCTACTTCTTTCTTTACGGTGTCGATATAGTTAGTTAAGAAGCCCCCGATGTCCAGAAGTTTAGACAAGTCTTCGTTGCCGCATTCTGATGGCACCGGAAGCTGTTTTACAATAGGTGATACACTTTCCCTATACGTATCACAGATGAACTTTGCAGGGCAATACTTACAGTGATCCCCGGCTTTGTATTCAAGTGAGTCTTTATTAATAATAGAATCAATAATAAAGTTAGCACGTTCGCCAACCTTTTCTATCTCCTCTTGTGTTACACTTTCTGACTTAACTACGTTACCTTGAACGATAACAACTTCTGTCACAGGTAAGTTATATTGTTTTTGAGCTAAGTAAGCATAAGTTAAAAGTTGTGTATTGTTTACGGGAGAAACCGGCATGAACCCTGTTTTTAAATCGACAACAACGATGTGATCGTCATAGATAAGAACACAATCAGCTGTCCCAAACAATAATGATCCGGGGTCTCCAACGACTTGCTCAGATAGAGCCACCTTAAAACCCGACGTACGTATGTAGTTAACGTAAGTAAAAAGTGCGTGGTCTTCAGCGCAGTGAAGTGACTTAGTAATTATCTCGTGAGCTTTATCATGCAGCACGTTACCGCGTATGGCCGCTTCACCAGCGTACTGTTTCGCTTTTAATGATAACTCTAATGAACCTGGGCAGACTAACCAGCGTGAAGATGAAGAGGGAGATAACTTTGCATGTGTCATTTTAACTATCCTTGTTAAGTAATGTTGTAAATTTAGATACTACTGCTTCTTTTGTCAAGACATTTTTTAATATTCTATCGTCTAGCGAATTTTTAACTACTAAATAGTGCGCTAAAACAGGGGATTCTTGGCCTTTTCTGTGTACGCGCTTTAACGCTTGTTCGTTATCTGATGGGTTCCAACTTATCTCTGAAAACACAACGTGGGTTGCGGTATGTAAACTAAGGCCTTCTGATACAGCACTAATTTGACATAGCGCTATAGAATAATTTTCAGTGTTGAATTTATGGCAAAGAGACTGGCGTTGAGAGGGTGGCACAGAACCATCCAAAAGGAGTACGTCACGAGGCAAGGATAAAGCCTGCACGTAGGTAAGGATTGATTGTAATACGGCTCTGTGCCACGCGAATACTATAACTTTTTCTCCAGACAAAAGCAAATTTTTTACGTAATCTTGTATGTAAGGTATTTTTTGAATTGCCATCAAGTGCCGAAGTTCTGATAATCCTTCGAACCCAATGCTTGAAGTTATATCTTCGAGAGACTCTATGTTATATGCTTTCTCTTGCGCTAGGTAAGTACCCCCACAGCTAAGTCTAACAATCTGTTTTCGTATGGGCGGTAGGTTACGCTCTATGCGTTCTCTAGAAACCGGGAAAATTAATTTCTTGGTTATTTCAGAAAGTTCCTCAAGGTTATCGGAGCCATTAGTGATCCATCGACCATATACATCTTTATAGCCCTTGCAAAAGTGAATGGCATACATAGAAGATTTACTGTACGGCCCTAGTTCGTCAGGTATCAAACCACGTAATACACTATACAACTCCCACGGGCGCTGCATCATCGGTGTTCCGGATAAGAGAATACATTGTTTTATGTTGTCCTTGGTTAATAGTCTTTTTGCTTTACCTTGCCAACCGACTAACGCTTGAGTTCGTTTCGACCTGGGATTCTTTATCTTATGTGCTTCATCAACAATAACACCCGTGTAGTTAGTTTTAAAAAGTGCCTTATACATAGATTGTCGGATACATTTATCATAAGAAACTATTATGTATTTAACCGCGTCAGGAATCTTAGCCGAGGCAGTAGGTGGAACAAATATAAGATCACGTTCAATACCATATATTTTACCTATCTCGTCTGCCCAGAGTTCACAAAGAGACGCCGGACATATTATAAGTACTAAATCATTGTGTTTCGTTGCCTCAAGAGACGCAAAAGTTTTACCACCACCGCATGGTATTGCTAAGTATGAATATTTCCTAGCTTTCGAAAACTCAACCGCTTGTTGTTGATAATCGTATAGCTTCATTAATCCCATTCGGAAGGTCCCTTAGGTTTTCTAGTGAATAATTTCTTAATGAATTCATTATTCTTAAGCTCATGAAAAATGCCCTCGAGATGAGCCATGAATATGAGCCCTAGCATTATGATGACATAGATACAAAACATAGAAATCATTATGTGTAATAAAATTGTCATCGTTTTCTCCAAATTGATAACAGGGGTGTAATGCCTATAAAAAGCCATATAAAAAAAGATGGTATGGGGAAGTATAGCACCGAAGCCATCGCTAAGGATAACAACCATGGTTCGTAGGAAATTTTACCCCAATTATATCTTAGAAATAGGGCCAATAATATATAAAGACCCAGGTAAGCTATAAGGGCCAGACTAAAAAGAAAATAGCTTCGGTGACAAAGTAAGAAAGTTGGTTGAAATGCTGCAATCATAATTTATCCTTGTATTTGTTAATTTCTCTAATTACTGTTGGTCCACTCTTATCTTTCCAAAACGCTGTCTTACTAAGCTTACAGTAAACCCTTTCTATTTTTGAATCAATCCGAACTCTATGCAGTGCTTGAGCATCAGATCTAACTAAATAGCTCAGTTTCCGAGTGTCATAATACTCTTCTAAGTCCAACGTGTCTAGATAAGCACTAAACTCAGTAAGTGTGAATATGTCACTTTCACGCTTAACCAACCAGTTTTTAAATATAACTTCAACACTGTTAGAACCAGAATCATCAATTAAGATTTTCTTGGCAAAAGTCATAGGTGGGTGTTAAATGATTGAAATTACTTAAGTCAACTTTTAGTAAGTAATCTAAAAGAACCGGTGCGTTATCGTCATCATCTAACCACGACCAAAGTTTAGTATAGTACTCAATCTCCGCCCCGTGTTTTTCTGCATCTTCTTCACGCGAATGTCTTTTTCGATAACTTTTCAACACGCAATATCGTCTATCTTCTTTCTCAATTAAAACCGGCACGTCATAATTAGATGTTGCTAATATGCTACAACAGCTTTTAATTAAATAAGGGTTGACGTGCTTACCATGTATAGAAACAACTTCATCTGTGATGATGCTTTTCAACTTGTTAGATAACTCTTTTCTTCCTTTGGCCATGAGCTCAGGAATAACAACAATTTGTTTCGCGCACCACAAGTTATATTTCTCATGAATGTCATCATTAGATGGTTCAGATACATTAGAAAAACCCAGTAGTTTACGCAAACAATTTCCTATGAATGTTTTGCCAAGTCCTTGCGCGCCGATTAAAAGCATCATGTATGTCACACGTTTTCCCGGGTGTTGAATGATGTGCGCCATCCAGTTTCTAAGTATTTCCCAATCATCTTCTAATAGCCATTTTAAGTGATCCTCAAATATTGTAATATCACCCGGAGCTGGAGTAATCGGCGGCAAGTGCCATTGATTTACTTTAACTAATGACTCTTCTTCGATAAACAACGGTCGCCCTGGCTCGTATGTTAAGTCATCAACAATCGTGCATTTAGGGTCTTGTAAAAATGACGAAACAGGGTCACCCTTCGGATAGGCTTTTCTAAGGTAATTCTTCATTAGATTTTGGTCTAGTATCTTGTTTTTATGAACATAGTTAAAAAACCTGCCTTGGTTGTTTATGTAAGCCCACTCTTCAAATTCAGAACGTAAATCACTTGCGTCCTTCTGTTTGACTTTCGTAGTAATAGGTTGAAGATCTTCACCTAGTTTAGAGGGTATGTATCCATTCTTTATTGCTTGGTGATAAAGAGATCCCAACCCACGAGGACGCTCTGGGTTCGGATTGAACGTCGCCCATTTCAAACTGCATTGTCCGTCTTCATACTTTTTGCTAGATCGACTCCACTCATCCCACAAGTCTAAACCTTCTTGCGCTCCTTGTGTTGAGTTAAATATAGAAATACCAATGTTTAGCCATTGCGGATAATAAGAATTTGAATCTAAGTACATCAAAACATTTCTTAGTTCTTCAATAGCTTCATCTATATCGATCGGAGCTTGGGAAGTAACTACTAAACCGGTGTTGCGTATTTTGTCTAGTAGTTCAGGATGTATATCAGCCATTTTAGCGTTCGGATCGATCGGTGTGTACACTTTACCGTTCACTTTGCTGCCCGGGGCTATGACGTACGCAGTCTGTGATAAGAAATCAACACCCGGATATGCTTTGATATTCTTACGCGTTTTAAATAGCCCCTTGTTTTTATAGTAGTAGTGACGACCACCCCCAGGCGTTTGAACAGTTAATGTAGGTGGTAACCATCCTTTAGCTAAGAATTCTTTTTCATCATCTTGTATTACGTTACCGTCTTCATCCCGTTCATAATTTCTAGGATCAAAATCAACGACAATTATGTGCGGAACTTGCTTCAACGCAATACCATACGCGCCAGTTTGAGACATAGCCTCATTTCGACCCGCCTGGCCTTGCAAAGTAGCGTTAGGCCAGTCTTTGGTTAGCGGGATTTTAGTTGAAGAATCAACAGGGAAGTACATTTCATTCTCCTGCGTCTGACCACAATGTAAACCACGTATGGTTCGTCCCAAAAAAATCATTGAATGCTTTAGTAAACAGTTTAACATTATCTAAACTAGGTGATATGTTTCCTGTACTCCAATTATATAAGTTGCTTCTGTTAAACCCTGTTTCAAGTGCAAGCTTATTTATTCTAACACCCCGCTTACCTGCTATCTTTTCCCACTTATACATTAGCTGCCTCCTTAATATTTAACATTGTTTCTGTTTCTTCTAACGCTCTGCCTTCAATGTGAAGATAGTTGTAGACCGACAATATAATTGTTCTAACAGATTCACACACAACAACTTTATGTCCGTGTGAAATTAAGGATGCATGCATTTTTAATTGCGCATGAGAGAGTTTACCACCCGGTTTTTTAACTTCTATGTAGAGAGAGGGGTAGCCAGCGCGCGGCATAGGTATGCATAGATCTGGCATACCGGCTAATACACCTTCGTCTTTTAATTTTAGACCCTCCGTTGCGGTTCGTTTACCGCCGTTCGGGATGGCGTAAATTATAAAATCATCGCCGAGACGAGTTCTTAAAAATTTAACGGCTAAACATTGTATTTTATGTTCTTCACTTAGTCTGTACTTTATCATAATCTAGTTCCTTCTAAATTGTTAATTTACGTAGTTATTCCATATGGCACAAAAGTGCTAGGACAATTAGTTCATGCACCTGAGCTTCAAGGGGCAATGGTGATAATGAATGTATCATTTTGTCGATAATTGATCGGGCTTCCACATCCGATTCATTATCGTCACATGTAGATTCTCTTATTTTAAGAAGTGTTTTTATAACAATACCTTTTTCCATTTTATTCCTCCATCTTTTCAATTTTATTGTTAGACTTTAGCTCACTTACTGTGTCATAAACAAATTCTTGAATCTCTAACAACTCGTGGGCAATGGGAAAATTAAACAACTCATGCGCGCCCAGATTGTTTATTCGCATGAAGTCGAGCTGATTTACAGCATTGTGGTAATACTCCATTTGTGCGATTGTATCAGTAGTGTACGGATCAGAGATTACAATTAGTATGCAGTCTAAGCAAGTCTGTATTGCAGCATTGAGTTGATCATCTAGTGGTATTGGTATCATCGTCCCCCTCCTTTATTACAATATTTTTATAGAATTCCTCACCTTTCAACTCAATAATGTCATCAATAAACTTCGGCATAGTGAGCAAAGCTCTATAACCAAAAGTACTAGGTTTTGTATCAAAATACTGATACATGGCATATGCATTTTTAAATATTTGGAGCTGTACCGCTTGAGTATTAGTGTTGTGGTAAATCCATTCGTGAGCGTACGCCCTATAGAATCTAAAAACTCTACCTTTGCACGAGAAATCCAAAAGCTTATCACCCTCGAATATCAATTTCTCACATGTACCTTGAACTTCAAATTTCATTCTGTTGTATCTCCACAGGGGGGTATTTCATCTGGAAGTGAAATACGATTAATATAATATTCAAGAGGAAGTGAATAGTCGAGATTTAAGGCGTCATACATAGTTTTAAAAAAATCCCGGTATCCTAACCCTCCTACTATATCTGACAATTCGTTAAAAGCCCTAATATATGTACCTGAAATAGACTTGAAGAAGTAAACATATCTACCGCACTCGGTCTTATAAAGTGATTGGGAATTAGAACATCTGTCATTCCCCGTGTATATCAAAACCCCGGTAAATGTTAAAGAGGGTATCCCGGGGCCGTCAAGAGTAACTGTACCCTCCTCCCACTCGCCTCTGCGATGCTGACCTAATTTACTGATAAGCTCTCCATAGAAATCGAGACGATATAAAGTATCTATAACATCTATAATTTTAGCATGAAAACTCCAGGACTGCGCAACAGTATATAAAACAAAGGTATTTTCTATAGTTTCGTACACTATTATATTTCTTTGACTACCAATTTCTCTTCCCACGAATTCATAATAGTCATCTGAAACGTTAATTCTAATCTTCATTTTCAATCTCCTTTTAATATATAGCTTTAGAAGGAACTGTCATTATTATTCTCCAACTCAACAGCTTTATTATTATAAATTACAATATCGCAAAAGTAAGACATAAGTATTGCTATCTTATAAATATCAAGATAATTTAATGTGTCTCTATCTAAACCCGATATTTTTTCATTTATTAAGTCTATAACAGCCATAAGATCACTT